AGGGGAGACAAGTCCGTGGTGCCCTCGCTGCCTAAGTTCGATGGCAAAGGAAAAGGACCGGAAGCTCGCCACTTCCTGGCTGCCTACCAGAGCTGGGCAATGACAATGGGGACAAAGCTCAACATCCTCAACGTCCTCAATGCCAACATCCACCAATGGGAAATGGTGGACCATCTGTGGATCCAGGCGGCCCTCAACTTCCTTACAGACAAGGCATGCACATGGGCGCTTCCCCACATCGAGGCCCTGAACGTGGGCAACACCCCATTTGCTAACTGGGGCGCATTCGTCAACGACTTGAAATGACACTTCATGCCAATTGATATCTCTTTGGTTGCAAAGGAAGCAATCAAGAAGCTCTTCCAAGGGGATATGGACATTCCCCACTACAAGGCCTGCTTTGACGAGCACGTGGCGCAAACCCGCTGGTCAGACAATGACCTCCACAACAGGTTCTACGATAACCTATTGGACCGTGTAAAGGATGGACTCGTCAATGTCCAATCCAACACCGATACATTGGCGGACCTGGCCAAGTGGGCAACAGAAGTTGACTGTCGGCAGCGCAACCACCGCGATGAGAAGCGTGGCAAGGGGAGCGAGCCCTCGCGCCCCTCCGGACAGTCTTCGGCTTTGGCCGACCCAGATGCCATGCAGGTCAATGCGACTGGCAACAGCAAGAACCTCATCCCCTATTGCAAGGAAATGCAGGGGAAGTGCTATGGGTGCGGGTCGAAAGACCACACAAAGGCAAATGGCGGGCATGAGCGCGACATCTGTCGCCACTGTGGCAAGATGGGCCATTGGTCCAACGTCTGCATGGACCGGTACCTGGGCAAACCCCAGGTGAAGAAGGTCGCAGGCACGTCACACGGCGACACTACGGTCTTGTCTGGTTCAACCCCCTCAGCTCCGGAAAGCACAGCGGCAGATTTATTGCAGAAGTTGATGAGCCAGTAAGCGGAGGTGACAAAGCAGATGAAGGCACTTAAGGCATCTTTTTAGAACGGACCCGTGCTAAAGCAGCTGCGGCCAGGTCAAGTGGTAAGCACAGTATGGACTCCACGGTCTCTCCTACGGACTCTTGTAAAACTACACATGTTTCTTTTTCTTCTACGCCATCTTGTATGAATATGGACTACGATACTAAAACAGAAAACACAAAAAAATCATCTATGCCTACGTCTTCCTGTTCTTCTTCCTCTCCTATGTCATCATCAGTTCCTACGGCTACGACTTATTTATCTGAATATGAAAGCATTTCTTCCTGTACTATACCAGAAGTCCTCAAAGGAGGCAATCATTTACATATTTATGTTTTGTTAAAAGGGAGAAACTGTACCGCACGAGTGGCTGCCATGGTAGATTCAGGGGCGACGGGGTTATTTATTAGTAAGCACTTCATGGAGAAGCACAAGGTGAACGCGCGGCCTCTGGCTCGCAGCATTCCCTTGTTCAACATCGATAGCACAAAGAACCAGGCTAGGAGCATTACACATTATGCCCAGCTGGAACTGTGCATCGGGGATAGACGGGAACGGGCCGAGTTTCTGGTAACAGATCTCGGACCTGAGGACGTAATCCTTGGACTTCCGTGGCTTCGTAGGACGAACCCGGACATCGATTGGGCCAACGGTGAAGTACGGTTGGACGGAGAAAC